AAAAGTAAAAATGGCGAAGCTAGCACAATGAAAAGATTCAGTTTTATACTGCATTTAATTCATAAATAGCATTCTTGGTTTTTGAAGTCAAGTACAGGGATGCAGTCAAACCACGTCTCAAAAACATGAATCATTTTGCCCCTCCTGACATGGACAGACCCCATGATTGCTAGTCAAGTGGGTAGTAGCAGGTGAGTTGAATAGGCCAGGTAACAAAATTCACTTTGTGTAACTCTCCCAAACACATTTAAAGTCCAAATATTTTGTATGTCAATATAACTTAACTCATAGTTCGAAAGTTAGGGAGTACTAGAGGAAAGTTCTTCGACATCACTGTTTTCTTCCCCCCATTAACCCTAACTCTTAATCAGCAATCTGGCTTTCCTGAGCACCCCCATGCAGTATCCAACCATTCCTCCAACCTCCCTCAGAAAGGAATCACTATCTAATATTACCTCTATTTCTACTGTGCCACTGCAAATCCCCAGCTCTTTTTCTTTTTTAATTTCCTATTTCAAAATACCTCCTCCTTTCCAATTCTCTCCCAACATATTTTTCCATATTTCTTCCTTGAGAATCTAAAGATGATGGCAATGATTGCTAAATGAATAATATATGGGCGAGATGTGATTAGCTGAAATGCCAACCTTATCTTTATTGCAAATCAGTGACTTAAATTATATTGAAATAGACCATTTTCTTATTTCTGGATTTGGAGAAAGTGTGTATTTATTTGGAACTCTAATGAGAAAATGAGAGTTAGATATCTTATTATCTAATTTTTAGAATACATTAAAACTAAATTAGGTATTTTCTCAGTATAGGGATATCGTATTTCAAATTATGCACCTGCAGGACTAGAGTTGATCATTGAGCTTACATATAAACATCCTTCTGTAGAATTTTTAGTAATCTTAATGGGAATTCATGATGATGAATTGAAGCTCACGGTGAACTGAAAAGCAGGATGAGCTCATTAATCAACTCAATACAGTACCTGTCACAGGTAACTTTAGAATTATCTATTTCCTTCTCATATCTGAAAAAGCCTGGTTGCCAAATGACTATTGATAAAATGTCATAGTGAAAAATATCTGAAATTGAAGTATACCTGCTTTGACATAAAGCACTTGAATTATAAAAGAAGAGCAATGTTTGGCATTACATTAACTCTCTTAGGTACCCACAAGTCAGTGTTTTATATGAAATTAGAGGAAGATTTGAAATAAATTAGATGCTAATTATGTCATTTTAACTGAATCAGGAAACTACTATTGAATTAATAGATGGTGACTCCCAAATCTGAATATTAAGCCTGGGTCTCATTTCCAAATCTGAATCTTAAGTCCTGAGTTCTCATTAGAACTCCAAACTCGCAGTCTGCCTATATCACCTCCACATAATGTGTACTTAGCGTCTCAAATTTGGTTTTACCAAAAGGGAGTTCTTACCTTTAATCCTCAAGCCTGCTTCTGCCCGCCATTTCAGTAAGGATACCATTGTCCACCTTGTAACTTAAACCAAAGATCAGGAGTCTAACCTTCATTACAGTAATTTACTCACTTCTCATATCTAACCCACGAGCAAGTCATGCAGACCCACCTTCAATATATGTCCGTGCACTTTGTACCATTCTCACTATTGTTACCCCAATCCAAGTCATTGTGATTTCTTGGCAAGATCACGGGAACAGTCAATTCACTAATTTTTCTGCTTTACTTCTTGCTCTCTCTTTCTGTTGTCCACAGTGTGATCTACATAATGGCCTAAAAGTTCAATCAAATCACGCCAATTCCTGCTTCAAAATTTTTATCATTTTCTTCACTTAGAATGATTGCCAAACCCTTCATAGACTTAAAATCAATATAGTAATGGTTTCTTATAAACATTTAGACCTCAAATTGAATCACTCTCTTCTTTACTTGTTTCGAAAGTACTGGAATTCTTTTGGTTTATTTATTATGGCAGGCTTGTTTTCATCTCCAAGTCTTTGCAAAAATTATTCTCTCTGTTTAAAATATGCTTCTGCTTGGCTTCCTCAAGGCTGGCTCCTTGCCAATCTGATCTCTCTTAAATGTCAATTTAAGTATCAAATTCCTTCCCTGAGATCTCAAACTTGTGGTAACCACTCAGATGATCTCTATCGCATTGCTTTATTTTAATTCTCCACATAGCTCTTACCACATTTATGTATTTTATTTCTACTGAAATAAATGCTAGAATTTAACCTCCATCAGAGTATAAAACTTATCTTCTAGTCTCAATGTATTAATAGCGATTAGTGCACTTAGGAATTCTATATGTATTTTTCAAATAAATTGATTAATGAATTATATATTTTCAACTGTATAATTGCCATAACTTGTTAAGTGTAAGTGAGGCAGGAAATCATCTGGAAAAATAGTAAAAATGTTGAATCTACATGCCAACATGGTGTTTTAAAAATTAAATTCATTTTGCTTCCCATGTTTGTACTGAGTTAGAATATTTGCAAGTTTACTTTATGCTTTTGGATTGTAAATCTTTTAACATAACAACAGTTAACACATCCATATATGATAATATAAAGCTTATGTTCCATGAAATAATATAAATACTTTACACATGTTAACACATGTAATCTTTATGACACCCTAATAATATAAATTTTATTTTATAGATGAGAAAACTAAGGCACAGAAAGATTAAGTAACTTGCTTGAGATTATATGACTAGTAGTAGCAGAGTTGGGACTCAAACCAACAGCCTGGATTATCTATGTTCATAACCGCTAAATTATATTGCCTCTTACCCTTTAAATGCAATTTAACTCATTCAGTCAATATTCCACAATCATACATTGCTAGGTTACTGTATTAATTGCAAAGTATTAAATATTTTAGATGAAAGACAAATATTGCAGTTTGTCTGCAAGCTTCAGAAAGTTTTATCCTTATGTTTAGCAGAAAAGTTAACATAGTGATAATGAGTTTAGAAAATATTTGTTAAATAAAAGTGTCAGGGGCTAAGTGAATTCATAAAAATGCCTTGTAAGGGCATCTGACACATACTGATGGAGGGAATTTATTAGCCAAAAAACTCTGGAGGAGCCTATGTTTAAGCTAAATTTCAAAAACATTAGTAGGAGTCACCCAGGAGAAGAATAGGCATGTTTGGGGCAGAGGAACACAGCAAATAGTAAAGTCTAAAGTCATGTCTAACCTGGCACATGTTTTATGTTACAAGGTTACACTGAGATATTAGACAGTCTCAGTGTGACTGTCTTTCTTTCTAACTGTCACTAACATGTTTTCTCATGGGAATCAGTCTTTTAATTTTGACATTCAGTGGCCTTCCTGACCTCCTGACTTCTAAGTCAACCGTAGGTCATTGCACTGGAGCTACTTTTTTCTTATTCTGTACAAAAGAAGAAATAAAAGAGCTGAAAACGACCTAAATAAGAAATTTAAAAACTTGTGCAAATGAACAACTTTAAAACACTTAAACAGTAGGACTAATTTAAAAATACTATAAAATAGAAACATTCTGTTTTTAAAGGACTTGTTTATGAGAAACATTTTTATGTTGAACAGTGACCAATAAATATGACAGTTAATATCTTTAAGGTAATTTAAATTAGGATGTGTTTTAGTAATTCCCACCAAGTAAACTTACTTCTTAACAAATATAATACCAACATGGAAAGAATAAATATCAAAATGATCAACGTAGACTTGAATTTCTATTTCTTATTTTAGTCAGTAATATCTGTGGATTATTACTTTATAACATTGTTCCTAGAAAAAGTAATTTTACCTATCTTAAATTGTCTGTGTGTATGCGTTTTCTTTTCCCTTGATGAGCACTTTGGAATCAAAAGATGTAGATAGATCCAAATGTTTACCTTTATGTAATAGCTTATCATCACAGAGGAACTCTTGACAGCTATATTAATCAAATAAGAGAAAAACAAAGATAATATTGAAATAAGTTCTACTATCAGATTTCAGAAAATTATTAGAATATTAAAGATGCTAGTGTAACAAACACCTTTAAAGAGGGTACTTTCTTTCTTTTGGACTAGCTTAGTTATTATACGTTGATAAGTGATTGAAGTGAAGAGCAGTTCATCTCTTTACTGCTTATTGGTTCATTTCTTTTCAAGATATGAGGATCTATTTCATGATTAATTGTACAACTTTTCAGTAGCTATAGTTGTTGCTAAAGAACATTCCATTAGAAATTTGAGAGAAAATTTAAAGGCATTCATCAAAGTTCCCATTTGGAGTCTAGAGAAACAATAAAGTGGATATTGACTTCTCTTGAGGAATGGATCATGCTTTATTGATCCAAAGGGAAAGTCAATATTTACCTTCAGTGAAAATAATTATTGATGCTCAATGAAATGTAAAATTTAATACATTATTTCTAATCAGAGATCTCTTAAAATCTATTAAAAGATGACACAGTCTAAATAGCATTTATATTTCTCAGTTTATAAAAATATGTGTGCATTATAAGAAACTGTAGTATATAGAAGATTAAAAATAGAAAAATTACCAAAATTTTCCCATCAAGAGAAAACAACTTAATATTTTGGTATATTTTATGCCAGTCATTGACCTATAAAAATATTTGGATGTATTTATATATGTACATTTGGGTTTTAAATATGATAAAAATAAAATATGTAGTCTGTTTTTCTTTCCAAATATGCATTCCTGCTTCCTGTAAAAGAATTATATATCCTCACCTGCTGACCTGTGATTATATATCCTCACCTGCTGACCTGTGACTTGTTAAACATTATGTACAATGATGTACATCTCCAACCCACTGACACTGTGTTTGTCCATAAAAGTTGCTTTGGCCAGTGGCAGGGGGCATATACCTACTACCTCATCCAAGCCTTAAGAGCCATTACATGTTTCCACCAGCTCTGTGCTGTTTTCTCTCTGTCACAAAACCAATTATGTGTCACATACGGGCTTCTCTTTCATGTAGATCCAGAGTTAGAAACACAGAAGAGGAGGACATCAACTCTCCACAGATGCTGACATGTAATGTGTGCAAAAAAGAAACACTGAGTGTTGTAAACCGCTGAGATTTTGACCTACTGTTACGGTGCGAAGGTAACTAATACATACTCAAGTGTATTAATAAACATATTGGTTTTTAGAAATAAGTTTTACTAACCGTAAAGGAAACATTACAATAAGTTCTACTACCTCAAAATTAAAATTATTTTTGAATTAAAATATACCACCAAGAAAGTGAAAATAAGTCACATTCTCACAGAAGGAATTTGCCACATTTATAACCGAAAGAAAATAGTAAATTCAAAATGCTTTTAGATATTTATATAAATATATATGATGCATTAGTTAATATACAAATATAATACATAGAATATATTTATGTATATAATATATAATATTTATTATATGTAAATAATCGAATTAATATGAAGATCAATAAGAAAAAGGTTGATTGTTATATATAAATATATATGTTGCATTAGTTAATATACAAATATAATACATAGAATATATTTATGTATATAATATAATACTTATAATATGTAAATAATCAAATTAATATGAAGATCAATAAGAAAAAGACAATCTGAGAAAATGGGCAAAATGAATGAAGGGGTATTTTACAGAAGAGAAAGGCCAAATACAAAATAAACATTTAAAGATGCTATCATTCCTCAGTAATTAGGAAAATACAAGTTAGAAATACAATGAAATACAGTTTTACTAACTACATTGGCAAAAATTAAAACTGAAGTACCACATGTTTAAAAAAATATTTGAGTTAATTCTATTGGACAATAGAATGCTTACTCTTTGGTTAAGTGTATCTGTACAATCACTTTAGTAAACAAATTGGTTGTATCTTTTAAAGCTGGAAGATAGAACTCATGTTAGATTTCTTAGAAAGCTCACTCTATTTACTAGAGAACTTTTGTACTTCTGCCCTAGGAGACTAGGAGATAGCAGCACTATCCTTAGGAGAAAACACCTGGGGAAAAACTGAGTGTGTTTTGGTAGGAAAATGGATGGCTAGTCTGCTGAGCAGCTCTACAAAACTATTATGCAGCTACATACAAACACACTGATAAATCTAAGATATAATAATGCCAAAAAACGAGAGAGAAAGAAAAAGAGAAAGAAAAGGAAGGGAAATGAAGCGCCATGAACAATTACTTACAGTAGATGCATATTTATGGAGTTTACACACATACGTAAAAACAGTACTGTGCTCTCTCTCTGTCTTCTCTACATTTCTCTCTCTGTGTGTCTTTCTCTACCTTCTTCTCTCTCTGTAAAAATTAATTAAAAAAATAAAGCAAGAGTCAGGAGTGAGGGGAGCAAAGGGATGAGAGTCCTATGTACTACCTTTCTGTGAGAGCAACACAACTTTATCTTTTTTGTATTTTATGCCTCCAAATGAGTAAGATAAAGAGAAAAAAATACAATATAGGAAGTAATTATACAATATTCAGGGGATTAGGAGACAATCAACAATTTTATACCTGTGCGATAAAAAAAATAGAAATTAAAACCTGCAGCGATAATGTAGATTGTCACTAAGCTTTAAGCATCAATTAATGACAAGCAGAATTTGAAAATACAGTGCAGCCTTGACTGGTGGGCTCAGGTGGTTGAGCACCCTCCCAGGCACCAAAAGATGCCAGGTCGCTTCCCAGGCAGGGCAGTGCCTGGGTTTCGGGCTCCATCCCCAGAAGGGGGCTGGCAGGCAGGAGGATCGGTGTTTCTCTCTCACATTGACGTTTCTCTCTCCCTTTCCTTTCCTCTCCCTAAAGTCAATTTAAAAATATATAGTAAACTTATAATAAGTAAAAAAGTTTATTTATAATAAATTTTTCCAGCAGACAACACAAAATCAAGACACTGATTGGAGAAAAAGACGTGAATGGAACAGTCCTAAGGACATTTTCCTCCTCCACATCTGATTGTTTCCTCAAACCCAATGTGGAAAGTTGGAAGTTAATGTAAGAACCATACTGGAGATTATTTCTGATATGTTTGTATATAATTACGCTAAGTGAACTCTTTATTCAAAGTACACCTTTATTCCATGGTATGGATCAATGATTCTCAACCCTTTCATTATAAAGTACTTAACTGAAGAAAATCTTTGTGCAATTTATTCATAGGCAACTGAATGTGATAATCACCAATCAATAATTGATTTCGGGAACCCATTTTCCAGGATAGACTGGACAGCTAAGTCACATTTCGTACAGACTGCTAAAGGTACCAGGCACATTTCTGTTGGTTATGTCACATGTTGCCTATATGGACATTAGTGGAACTGTTTTATGATTTGTAATACCTCTGATAAACTTCAGAACCACTAATTATGTTAAGAGGTTAAGAGCACCAAAGCATATACATTTACACTCTAATGGATTCTTATATTAGGTAATTGAGAATAATACTCTTATTATCACTAATATGCATTAGAGACAAAGAAGCTTCCAGATATGCCAACAATTTTCAGTCCCATTTACCATTTTAAAGACAGAAGCACTGCTATATAGAATTCATTAATAAAGCTTCTGGAAGATACTTGTTCCTGAAAACAACACTGCACTCTAAAGGTAAGTGGCATTAATGTTACTCAGAAAACCTGAAGCTTCAATATACTCTTGAGAACAATTAGGATTCTGTCACATAAATGCTAGACTGTATTTACTTAAACTGATTTTCTATATCACGGAAAGTGAAAAGGTAATTATCAAAATGGATGTAAATGAAACATGCATTTTAGAAAATAGTTGAACCAATTACTCTCAAAAGATATATAAGGGCTGGAAAGTCTTTCACCCAATTTACTCATCCACTCAAACCTTATTTCCAAAAGTAAGCAGAGATTATCCCATAAATATTTATTTATTAGATTTATAAAGTGTGGCCTGCTCAAGCTGCAGAAAACTGTTTGAGACAGAAGTTATTTAACAACTAATGGAAGACCATTCTTAAAAGATATTTCTGCTACAGAAGTAGGCTTTTAACAAAATCTGTCATGCTATCTAATGAAATACTATTATAACAGCAGAGATAATTTTTTCATAGCATACTCCTTCTATCTGTCACAGTTCAGGACTGGGAACAATTAACAGGATCACCAGACTCTGGAGAAAGGCAACAATATGCACACCCCTATTCCTATTAAAATAAGTAAATTGCAAACCTAATTATCTTGGGGCCACAGGAGTATGGTTACTTTATGTAACCATTTGGATTCCTCGCTTATAGCCCGTATTTGATGCCTTATAATAAAACACTTTGCTTCTTGTAGAAATAAGAGAAAACAAGGGAAGGTATTATCTTTTCTTTTCCTCTGCTTTCTCTTCCTTCTCTTTTCCCTTTTTTTGATTTTATTACCCTTACCATGATCATTATTATCACTGTGAGGTATAAAGCAAAATGTTAATAAACAGATGGTTGAATATTAACAAGATGATAAAAGGAAACGTGAAAATGATAAATTAATGCCACTGTGCATTCTGTTTTCAATAATTTGAGTCTCTTCAAGGTAGGAGTTATATCCATTTCTGTTTATGACATCCTTTGGGAAGTAAGAAAACTGAAGGTAAGAGAGATTATATAATTGGCCTACAGTTAGCGATTGGTCAATGTAGCATTTATGTGTGGATCTCTGCTATCTAAGAGACATGGATTCAAATCTCAGCTGCACTAATTTCTTTCTTGGTGATAATTAGTGGGTTGATTCATCTCTGCTGTCTAGAAAGTTTTGCAAACCATTGTTCATGTGATATAGAGTCAAATTCTAAACTTTCCACTGACCCAGAGGTTTCCCCTTGATAAAATGATATGTATTGGAAACTCTTAGAAAGGAAAAGAGGCGTGTGTGTGTTTGTATGTGTGTGGGGGGGTGTGGGGGGGAGTATTATAAACAAAGAAATAAGTGATGACAATTACTGTATTCTTTTACAGGATAAAACATTTTTACAGTCCTGAGTGTTCCTTTTCAAGTGATGGATGGGTATTCTCTACAACAGGTGTAGTGTCAGTGGCTCCTCATAAAGCATGATTGAGCTGTGCTGGCTGATAGTATAGCGAGGTGATTAAGAGCAGGGCTTATAATTTACACTGTCTGGACTTGGAGCCTGGGTGTGCCACTTACTAGCTGTAAGACCTGCAGTAAACTACTTAATCTGTTTGCATCTTAGTTTATTCATCTGTAAAATGACTCTAAGAGTGATAGTTTCTACATTCCAGGGTTGGTGTGAGTATTGAATTAATAAATGTATGAAAAGGATTCAAAACTGCGTGCACATAGTAAATGTATATACATGCTACGTGTTTTCAGTATTGCCAAGTCTCTCTTCAGAGGGTGATGAAGTGAAGTTGCCCTGAGAGCATCATTCAGTTGTTAACATGTTCCATCAAATAAAGCTGCCATAGAACATGGCCAGATTCAAACCTTTTGTAGTAATTCTTCTCACCCCCGTTGGCTATAGTTCATCTCTGCAGGCTTCTTAATGATGTTAACTCAGAATTGCTTGGTAGTGAATATGTTGGTATTAGTTTCCTAATAAGTAGACAGAAGAGTGGTAATTAGTTTCTACAAGCTCAGCTAATTTATCTTACTTGCTTTTGGTGTGGAAAGATGTCCCAAGCTCATATATATTTTCTGTTCAAGACTGAACTATTTACAAGGACTTGATTCATTTTATTTTTATTTTTATTTTTATTTTTTAATGTTCCTATTGATTTCAGAGAGAGGAAGGGGAGGGAGAGAGAGATAGAAACGCCCATGATGAGAGCAAGTCATTGATCAGCTGCCTCCCGCACGCCCCCTGCTGGGGATCGAGCCCACAACCCAGGCATGTGCCCTGGCTGGGAATCAAACTGCCATCTCCTGGATCCTAGGCAGATGCTCAACTGCTGAGCCACACTGACTGGCCAAGGGCTTGATTCTTTTGGTGAGAAATAGTATTTAGAGACCCAAGTCTGAGCACTAGCGGTGTTCACCTCTGGGCTGGTGGTTTATTGCCTATACAGCATGTATTAAGAGGTACAAATATATCATGACTTTTATATTAAAAATTCATGATAATTCAAATTGAAATTTAGTTCTATAGGATATTTATTTAACCTTACTAATCCTACATCTTTCCCTCCATATTTACATGTAGAAAATCCTAGTTCTCAACATAGTTATTTGCATAATTCTGCAACATACACAACACTCTCAAAATGCCATTAGTGACTCTATCACTAACAGATTACTATAAGCAGATAGAGGTTTTTTTTTTTTTCTTTTTCCAGTTCTTTTTGTCCTTAGGCTATATCCTATACATTACTTTATTTTAAATGTTCCTTACAGAGTTAAATCTAAAATCAGGGCATATTCAGGATAGTCTGATAAGTATCCTATGCCTCCTCCACTTTCTTCTCCTTTCACCAATAGGCACTTATTTTGCTTTTATGTTATTGTTTGTTTTTGATAAATAATAGTATGGTATAGTACACAAGCTTTTCTCTGCCTTGCTCTTTCTCCTAACAATACATCTTGGAGATCACAACAATATCTAGACAATATGTATGCATATGTGTCATTTCTTTTTCGGCGGCATAGTACTCAGTTGTGTGAAGGTTTGGATATAACCTACTTTGTTTAACAACAATGAACATCTGCACTTTTGTCTGTTGCTATAATGCTGTAATTACTAGACTTGTAAATTGTAAATACATCTTTCTGGGGTTTCTTTGTTGTTGTATTGAATTGTTTTGTTGGTGCTGGTACTTTTGCCAGTGTGCCCTTAAGATGTATTCTTAGAAGCGAGATTATTGCACCAAAGGGGAAAATGCCAAGGTAATTTTGCTAGATGTTACCAAATTTCTCTCCAAACTTTCTGTTCCATCCAGTGATCTACGAGTGCCTGTGTTTCCACTGGTGTGTCAACAGAGAGTGTTGTCAAATTTTTATATATTTACGAAGCTATTTGATGAGAAATGTATTTCAGTGTAGTTTAGATTTACGTTTCTTTTTATTATGAATAAAAGTGAGACAGAGTAGTTTATCTCTGCTTAAGAACCATTTGCATTTCATTTTAGTGAAATGTAGGTTCATGTAGATAGCCCAATCAGCACAGTAAAACATTCAGAACACTGTTAATATATGATCTCTTTTAGGGCATGAGCTTCCTTCATGTGATTGGTGATTTCATCCGTGTCCTTAGGCTATATCCTTCTGGCAGCTCCGCACCTCCACACTTTTTCCAAGTGGCTAAGCCATGACTTAACTGGAAAATTAAGAAGGAGAAATTGGTCCTGCACAGCTGGCTTCTGCTTCCCCCTCCTCCTCTGAAACTGCTGCAGAATGTGTGTGCTCTTGAGGAATTTTACCTTCACGTAAATTTAGTGTTAACGACCCTCTCCCCTATCTTGTAACTGAGCATGGATGTTTGTCCAATTCTGGTATTCAGCATATATGAACCAGTTTTTGCCTACAAATATAAAGAGTATATTCCTTGGAGACACGTGCTAAAGTATTTAGGAGTAAAGAACCATGCATGAAGTGTGCAACTGTTTCAAATGGCTCCATTAAAAAAAAAAGTCCATTAATAATACTTACTATTATAGTTGTCTTTACTTTTTTCAGAGATTAAAAAACAAAAGAAGGTAAAATAACAATGGGTGAATTTAGATGAAGGATGATGTATGGAAGTTCATTGCTATATTGTTGCAACAAATCTGTAAATGTGAATAGTTTTTAAATTTAAATTTAAAATGACAAAAAATGAGTTAGACATAAAATGAAAGAATAAAAATAAAACCCACTGAGAAATGAGAAAAAGATAGATGATAAAGTAGACCGATAGAATGTATATATGAGTGTATTGCCAACAGAAGTCACATTTGCATTAGAAAGTTTAACAAACACCACAAATGACAACCATATATTTCTTTTTTCTGAAATTCATAAGCTTAGCCCTTTTCATTATGTGGTGAGATTAATATTTGGAACCAACAGTCAGCAGTCAAAACTGTTTATTTTTTAAAATCTTTTTTATTTTCACTTAAGATAATGTTGATGTTTCTCAGTTCTCAACCTGTGAGATTTCTTTCTTTGTGTTTCAGATTCCTCCAAGGTCAGGCAAGAGAAACAAACATTTTTATGTCACCTTTACGCTGTGTGGATACAACCTTATCACTGCTTTTAAAGAGATGAGGTGATTATACCCCATGATTTGAAACCTAAAGGATTGTCATTCTATGATATCCAAATGTAATTTTCTTATTTGGGGCATGGGCAGTTGGACTTTTTAAATTATTTATTGGAAATATAAGAAAGTAGCAAATGTGCATAATTTGTTTCTGTCTTTTATAGTATCTGGTGTAAATTATTTTTCAGAATGAAATGCAAAAGGTCATGTGGTAACAAGCCCTAGCATCGTAGTTGTGTTGTAGGAGGCGGGGATGGCACTAGGTGTTAGACCAGTGGGGTCAGCAACCTTGTTGCTTGAGTTCTGGCTAAAAAAGAATTCAGAGCCAAGACTGAAACTATAAGAGAACATTTATTTATAAAATCACAGAGGTGGAAGAAATAATTTGTAGAAGAAATGGGCTGAGAAAACAAGTTATAGGAACAAAGGAAGGGCCCTAGGAGCTTGGGAATAAGGAAGGTAAGAGTAACAGGCCTGAGGGGAGGGGGAGGGGAGGGGGAAAGGTGTGGGCCTGCTCCTTGGAAGGAAAGTGCTCTGAGCCCTCAGTCCAAAGGGTTTTAAAGGAGAAGATTTTAGGGGAGGTCCCCGGGGAAGATCTCAACAGAATATTCAGCAGCTTTCCAAGTGTGTCCTTTCAGGGTCTAGGTCTCCAATGATTGGTGATGGGTCAGCACCAGGGCAGGGGGTCATTGTCCAGTGCAGCTGGTCCTGAGGTCAGCCTTGGGGTCACTTGTCTGGTTTTGCTGCTTTTCTAGGCCAGGAGCTGAAATACAACTGAGGCCTAGATCTTATCTTTAAGGAGGAAAGGTCATGGGGTCAATATGCTGGGGGGAGAAAGTCATCCTGAGAGCAAGGTTCCACCCTACAATTGTTCTTTGCTAGGCACCCAGGGCTTTGTGCCCTGGTGAACTTCTGTACGTGGCCCACTGTTCTTGCTCTGCTCATGTCTGTCTAACTGCCCACCAGAGTTGCAGTTTATCAAACACAAAATTGTCTCAAGTGAAGAAATGGTGATTATGTAACAAATGTCCATAAATATTGGCTTTTAAAGGGTTTTATTTTCTTCCATTTAATAGTATGTTATCAGAAACACTTTGTCGTTTTTCTCATTATTCTACTTGTAGGTGAATTTAGAATTATTAATAAAGAAATATATTGTACAACATTTAAGTCCACAGCAGGCCAAAAAGTATAAGACTCATTCTAGCTCCAGTTTGTAAGTTACTTCGTTTCTTAAGCTTTGTCCCTCCCGGTCAGCTTATTTGGAACAACCCTTTTTGGGCTACTCCCAGGCTGGCTCCCTTCCTCAGACACCCAGGTTCCCTGGAAGCATGCACCATGCCCTCCTTCAGTGGGAATGCAGCGCTTCCCAGTATAACTCTCTTTACCTGGCACTCAAGTCAGCTTCAGCCACCGCTCTGGCCTCAGACCCCCACGTGTGAGTCACAGGCCACTGTGTGCCTCAGCCTTCAGGAAACTCTTGTCACGGCCTCTGAAGCTCCTCATTTATCATGGGGAAGAAATGCCCTTCACACTGGGGAGGTTGTACATCACTGGCAACTCATGCCAAAGGAATCCTCTATCAACTTTCTTCCACTTCCTTTTCTTCATAACCTAGTACAGATAAATCCAAGTGCAGGAAAACCGGTTGTACATCCTATGCATGTCTTTCATAGGTGATCCAGCACCCCAGGCTATA